TTGTCTGTTTATTTCTCTTCTCGCACCGCACCAGTTTGTGGTACGCGGCGGAGGGGTTGCGGCGGCCCCTGCAGCACACCGCGCCTTCCCGCGCAGGGACCCAGCGACACCGGCGAGGGGGAGGAGGAGGAGCCTGCAGTTGTAAAGCAGTGCGCTGCGCTGGCGGGCGCCATGCCTTTTCTTTTGGGGCGCGGCCTCCTCGACGTGTTCAATCTTTTGCGGGACTGCCGCACCCTCCCCAACCCCGCTGGTCTTCTCCTGCCGTCTTTTCTTTGCGCATTTGCGGGCACCCACCCGGCCACAGCCACACGATATAAATTGGGGTGTGAATTTATATTTATTTTGTGCCGGTGGTGCCGTGCGGGCCGAGTTTTCCCTCTCCGTGAGCTCGGGGAGCTGCTGCCCTTTTTGTTTCTTCTCTCTGCCCTTCCGCCGCTGTACTCGTCACTGCCTCTGCCTTTTGCTTTTCACCCCCAATGCCTGATAGATCAGCCCAGTGCTCCCAGCGACTCTGCTACCACCACCACCACCAACACCACGAGGGATGGCGATGGCGACAGTGCGGCGCCGTGCGGTGTATGCCCTGGCGGTGCTTGCGCTGCTGTGCGGCTGCTGCTCCTCCGTGTGCGGGGCGGCGACGTCCAATGTGAAGGTGGATGTGTTGTGTCCGAGCAATAAAGGAAAATTTAGTTGGCGTGTTTCTGGAGAGAACGATTGGACGGAGTGTTTGCAGACGGTGAATTACGATGGGCTTCGCAGGGTTGAGACGGCTGGTACAGACGACAGTGAAAGTGAAACCATCTGCACTTATGTCGTTTCATGGTGTTTATACATCTTGGGGAATTCTCCTTCACTCCCAGAAGGGAAAGAGAGTAATGATGCTACGTTCACGATGGACTGTACGACGGATGGCGAAAGTGAATCTTCCGACCTCTCTAACGGTAAACCCATCACTACTCTAACTCCTCGAGTTTCACTTGGCACTTTAGACAATTGTGAGGTTCCACACCTTCAACCCGCAACTGGAGAAATGTCTGGACGACACAATCCAGGGGTTCAATCACAAGCAGCAACAGCGCCATCTTCTGCGGATACTCAGCAGGGCGTCAGTTCGGCAGGCAGCAGTGCAGGTACTGGAGTCCCTTCTCCTAATGATGCTGGGCAGTCAGGCAGTGCGGGACCCACAGGGAGTCAGGAAACATTAACATCACCGACTGGCGCTGTGGATTCATCAAAAGCCACAGGAGACGGTGCGGTGCAAGCACCCTCAGCCTCCGCACAGCCATCCGGCACCTCCACTCCTGACAGTCCCGCTGGCAGCGATGGTGGAAGCGCCACTACAACCACGACCACCAGCAGCCCCAGTGGTGGGAAACACACAAAAGGCAACGCGGATGGCAGCGGCACGCTCACTGTGTGGGTGCGTGGCACACTGCTGCTGCTGCTGACGGCTGCTGTTGCATGTGCTGCTGGGGAGTGACTGCTGCGGGGGACCCGCACACCCACACACACCCTGGCAGGGCGACGCAGAGTGTTTGTGCACCGAGTTTGCGTGCCGTCTCTGTGGGCCAACTCCTCTCCTGTGCTTCAAGGGGTACTCCTTTGCTTTTTTGTTTTCACTTTTGTTTCAATGGTCATTTGCTACGCACATCCCAATGGGTGGCGTCCCTTCCCCCTCCTGTTTGCCGCTGCCACCAACACACGCACGCTGCCGTCTTGCTTGGCTGTGCGTTGCACGGACTGCCCAAAACGAGACACGAGGCCGCGGAGACCGTGCGTGAGGTGCAGCGGTGATGCGTGTGACCAGGCAGTTCTTTTCCGTTTCTTGCAGGCAATGGGTATGCTCACACACAGCCCTCTTTTGCTTTAGGGCATGTGAAGTGAAAGTGCCTGCTGAAGTAATTCATTTATATTGTTTTTGTTTCCGCCAGGAGTCCTCCTGGGCTTACACCTTAATTTTGTTTTTTGATTTTACTTTAGTTTGGCAAATCTTTGCGTCTCACTTTTGGTTTGCGCCGTGCCAGCCGCTGTCGCTGCGTGTTGTGTTTGCTGCCGCTGCTGGCTGCATTGCTGGCATGCCCCAACTCCTCTTTTTGTTTCTGCGAGAGGCGTAGGTAGTGCACGAGGAGGATTCTTTTGGTTCTCCGCTGCGGAGGGGGAGAATGGACGGAGTGTGAGTCGCGTCTCGCCGCGAGGGTGCGTGGGGCGGCACCCATTGCAGCCTGCTTTGAGGAGAGGCAACAGCGGCAGACTGTGCAGGGAACATAGGTCCGCCCTGTCCTTCGCGCCGCAGCTGTACAGGTACGCTGTGCGGTTGGCGTGGCCCGCCTGTGGAGCGTCGTGCTTCGTCTTTGCTGCTTGATGCAGCGGCGTAAGCGTGTGCGGTGGGAGGGGAGTGGGCGGTGGGCGATCGTCTCCTGAGGGGTGGCAGGGGCGAGGGTCGGGGCAGAGGTGGAGATGCCCTGCGGCGAGGAAGAGGCGGCATGCGGTGAGGCAAGGCGTGCAGCGATGACGGGTGGCGGCTTCAG